TACAGGGTCTCATTTCCACTGAGATCCCTTGAGGAGGGGAAACAGCCACTGAGTCTCTTCCGGTCCAGCACCCGCAGCCCTGCCCTGCCAGGTGCTAGGGTTGGAACCCAGGGCCTCCGCGCTGAGCTACACCCCAGCCCCTTTCCTTTTTCTTTGTTTTCTTTGTTTTTTTGTTTTGCTACTGCAGGGAGCGCTCAGGCTCCGTCCCCTCCGAGTCCTTGCCGCGGCGCCCCCTTGTGGAAGGTAGAGCCAGTGCAGTTCCTCCGGGTGTCCAGAACGGACTGATCACTTCGGGATCCGGTCCCATCTTGGACTCTTTATGTAGACAACTCATTAGTTATAAACATTACGGGAGTGCTGGGCGTGATGGCGCATGTCTGTAATCCCAGCACTCGGGAGGCTGAGGCAGGAGGATCATTGTGAGTTCGAGACCAGCCTGGGCTTCAAAGTGAGCTCAAGGCCAGCCTGAACTGCATAGCGAGACCCTGTCTCAAAAAGACAAAAAAAAAAAAAAAAAATTTACAGGAGTTAGGGCAGGGCCCTCAGCACAGAGGACAACTGAACTGTGGCCGCGGGCACATACACTGAAGCCAGGCGCCAGGACAAAGAGGACGGACTACACTCAGTACTCCCCCTAGGGGTGAACAGCAGTGACTGGTGTTTTAATAGGAACCAAGCACCTTGGGTGGGGAACAAAACCTCCCTGGCCCATTCCTTCCCGGGAAGTCCTTAACTGAGCCCCATTTAATCAATGTTACCCAAGCGACTACACTTGTAATCTTATTGGTTCACCATGGTTTTGTCCCACCTCACACCCACTTTGTGACGTCCCATTGGGTCAATATTACCTAAGCGACTATATTTATAATCTTATTAGTTGACTATAGTTCTGTCCCACCTTGAACCCGCCTCATCTCCTAGCTTTGCTGGATAAACACCCTTGAGAAGCAGGGTCAGCTGGGCAACCCACTTTCTAGCCCCGCTTCTGTCCCTCTTAGAAGCTTTCCTTCTCTCAATCATCTCTTCCTACTTTTCCTACTCTTAACCTCCGTTGTTCCTAGAATTGATTCCTCGATTTTAATGAACACGAACTCAGCATTTCGGACATCTAGCGGGTTGGGAGTTATGCTATTGCCCTGATCTTATTTGGAGGTCCTTACATCATCCCTATAGCTTTTTTTTGGTACCGGGAATCGAACTCATGACCTCAGGCTTGCCAGGCAAGCGCTTAAGCAGCTGAGCTATACCCTGGGCCCCATCATCCCTATATCATAGACCCTATATCTTTTCCTTCTCGGCCTCGAGGCTGGCAGGATCCCCCTTTGCTCACACTGCCACCTGCCCGCTGGAGCCTGGGTGAAGGACACACACAGTAGGTGACAGGCAAGGTGGCTGTGTACTTCTGTAGGAAGCTGGCTCCGAGGGAGCTCGAGGTCTGCCTGGGCCCCGTCCCTTCTCTCGCAGGCACTCTCCCTCCTTAGGAAGGTGCCACCCACTCCAGCCTTCTCTTCCCACCTTGTTACGGTTTGTGTCTGGGTGTCCCCCCAAAGCCTCATGTGGCCATGGGGCAGGCTTTTAGAGTTTGGTTGATTATGGGTGTGAGAGCTGCACCTGCTCTGGGGTGAATAGTTTGCATATGTAAGGGAGAGGAAGAGGCTGCTTGCCACCGTCCCTCCCTTCTGTGCTTGCTGCTTTTGCTGTGTTGCGCTGCCTTGAATGGTTGCCCTCTGCCATGTGCCACCCTGCCTCAGAGCCAGCCGAGTATGGACTGAAACCTCCACAAACCGTGAGCTAAATAAACCTTTCCGTCCTTCATTTTGGGTGTTGGATGTTTTGTCTCAGCAACGAGAGAAAAGTAACCAGGACACACCTCCTGACGTGTCCTCCCTCCCTCGGGCCCACCTGTCCCGTCTGGGGACAGCTGGACACGAATTTTTTCAGTGTCACTACCATCACACCCTGCCTCCCTCAGGGCACACGAAACTGAGCCTAGCGCTGCACCCAGGCTTTGTCTGCCCTCGGTCCAGCTGTGGAGTCCCCAGAAGGAGATGGACAGGAGTGGAAGGAGCAGGGGCCATGGGGGAAGGCTGTGCCATCGCTAGCAGAGGTGGCGTTGTCCCTGCTGCCACCTGGAGGGAAGCCTCAGAATTTCCAAATTGGCAAGAAGTACAGTAAACGTTGAATTTTGAAGGGTCCTGATCTCTTTCTCTCTCTCTCTCTCTCTCACAGCTGACCTTGAACTCACAGCCATCCTGCCTCAGCTTTCCCAGTGCTGGGACTACAGGGGTGCCCTCCCAGTCCCAGCTAAGGAGTCAACTGCGGCCTGGGGAACCCAGCAGGACCTGGGGGTGGAGTGCAGGCTTCTCAAACTTCCTATTTGCCTGGAGATCCCCTTGGGTTTGCAGAAAAATGCAGAGTAAACCCGGAGACGCTGGGCGGGGGATGTAGCTCAGCGGCACAAGCTCCTGCCTGGGGAGTACAAGGTCCCGAGTTCGATTCCTGGTACCAAAACCAAAAAACAAAACAAAACCATAAAACCAAATTCTCCCCTCAAAACGGAGAGACTCTGGGCTTTCCGAGGGCTCTGGTGGAACGTGCAGGTTTGGAAAGGTGCCGGGGCAACCTCGAGCGAGGGGTCTCTGGTCCTCCTGAGACGCAGGGCTGAGCCGGCTCCCTTCACAGGAGGTGGAGGGAGGGCGGAAGGGACAACCAGGGACAGCCCTGCCCCTGCAGGGGCTGCCTCTAAACACACTTTAAGGGAGCATCTGGGAAGGGGGTGCCATGCACTGAATGTGCACCCCTCACTTGTTCAAATCCTAGCTTCCAAAGCGATGGTATTGAGATGGGGCCTCTCAGAGGGGATCAGGTTAGGAAGGGGTACTGGGGATGGAACCCAGGGCCTGCTCACTGAGCCGTATCCCCAGTCCTTTTTCAATTTTTATATTTTGGTACAGGGTCTCACTAGGTTGCTAAGTTACCCAGGCCGGGCTGGAACTTTCGATCCTCCTGCCTCAGCCTCCCAAGTGCTGAGCCTGAAGGTGTGCGCCACCACGCCCAGCTGAGAGAGCCCCTTGCCACCCCATCGGGGTACAGAAGGAAGTCGAGCCTGCGGCGTGGAGCAGGCCTCCTCCGGACTTGGGAGAAACAAACTCTGGCAGCTTCCACCGCCCAGATTCGGGTGTTTCCGGCACGAGTGGGAGAGGCCAGATGCTAAAAACCCTACCAGGCCCAGGGCAGCCTCGCACCCCGCGCCGCATCCTCCGCGTGCGGGTGTCAATGCGAGGCGCCAACGCCGGGGCCTGGGAACTCGGCAGCGAGGGCTGCGGTACACAAGCGCACGGCGCCACCTCGCGGCAGCTGCGCGAACAATAGCGGCAGGAACTTGGAGACCGCGAGACCGTTAATAATCACCCCTAGCTGAAGGTCTGGAAACCGCGGACAGGCTGTTCACGCAGAGCCTCCTATAGCAGGAAGCCAGCCACCCTGCCTTGCAATTGGCAGAGATTTAAACACAAGCGGAGCCGGGGATTGTAGCTCAGCGGCACAAGCGCCTGCCTGGCAAGCCCAAGATCCTGAGTTCGATTCCCAGTAGCAAAAAAACAAAACAAAACAAAACAAAACAACAACAACAAACCACGCAAGCCGAGGCTGCTGGCGGGAAAGGTGTTGAGGGGGTAAATAGTTCCAGGAATGGTGCAGAATTGGAAGTGGGTGGGGAGGCTGTAGGCGGGGGCAACTTATGCAGCTGGTTTGCAGCGGGTTAGGTTCTCCGTGGTCGGTTCAGACTTGGAAGGGGTGTGAGGACTAGGGCAGCGGGCAGTCATTGGAATTATCGACCAAGTCCTGCGGCCTCAGAGACTATGGGTCAGAGTTCTGGCAGACGTGTCCCCGTGCATATTCCGCTGTTCCTTTGTATATTCAAGCTCTTAGTTTTTTTTTTTTTTTTTTTTT